CGGCCTGCGCCGCCTCCGCGTCCTCCTCGGGGGGCTCGGGGTCCCCGGGGTCCCCTGGGGGGCAGCGGGGTCAGGGGGGGTGGGGGACGGGGGTGGGTAAAGGGGGGATGATGGGGGGAGATGGGGGAAACTGGGGGGCACTGGGGGGCAGTGGGGTGACCCCATGGGCTATGGGGTGACCCTGGGGGTCCCAGGGGTGACCCGGGGGGCAGTGGGGTGGCCCCGAGGGTCCCAGGGGTGACCCCAGGGGCGGTACCTCCGTCGGGGGGTGCAGCCCCAGCCTCTCGAGCCCCCCCGGCCCCCTCGGCCTTGCTCTTGCTGGAGGAGCCCTTGGCCCCGAAGATGCCGCTGGGCTGGTTCACGATGCGCGACAGCGTCTCCAGCGGCTTCAGCGCCGCGTTCACCGTGTTGGCCATGTTGGGGCTGTGGGGGGACACAGCTGGCACCCCCAAACGCAGCAGGGACCCCCAGACCCGACAGGGACCCCCAGACCCATCAGAGACCTCAATCCCATCAGGAACCCCAAAAACCAGAGGGATCTCAAACCCACCAGGGCTCTCCAGCCCACCACGGACCTCCCAAGACCCCCCAAAACCCCTGGAGACCCCAACAAATCTCTGCCAACCCCCCTGAAGACCCCCCCCAGACCCCTTGGAGACCCCCCAGACCCCTGACCTGGACAGGTCGAGGCTGTGGGGCACCCGGGCCAGGTCGTTGACCAGCCCCTTCTTGAGGAACAGGCGGATGATGTTGTTCATGCCGTTGTGAGGGGCCTTGGCCGCGCTGCTGTAGAAGCTCGAGGTGGACGGACACGACTCCATGATGGTGCTGATGATGCACATGACGGCCTGGAGCCTGCGGGGACACCTGTGTCACTTGTGGGGACACCTGTGCCACTTGTAGGGACACCTGTGCCACCCGTGGGGACACCTGTGCTACTTGTGAGGGCACCTGTGTCATTGTGGGGGCACCTGTGCTACTTGTGGGGACACCTGTGCCACCCGTGGGGACACCTGAATCACTGTGGGGGGACACTGGGGGGACGGGGACTGGTCACTCCAGGAGGACACTGGTCACTCCGGCTGCTACAGGGGACACCGGTCACATTGTGGGGGACAGAGGACGAGGGACACCGGTCACCTCGAGGCTGCCTCTGCAGTGACCCTCCGCTGTCCCCAGGCTGTCTCCGCTGTCCCCAGGCTGTCCCCGCTGTCCCCACCCTGTCCCCACACCTGGCGTGTTTCTCGGTGCTCTCGGCCATGGCCAGGGCGCGGCCGAGCGCGGCCTTGACCTCGTTGACCAGGGCCACCTGCGCGTCGGTGCCGCTGCCGGCCGCGGCCAGGCTGGCCAGGAAGAGCCGCGCCAGCGCCGGCGTGTCCTTGTCCTCGGCGTTCTGCTGGTGGGGCAGCAGGTGGTCCAGGACAAAGGCCAGCACGCTGCAGTCCTGGGGGGACACAGGGGTCACACGGGGGGACACGGGGGGACGAGTGACCCCCACCCCCCCCGTGAGGTGACAGCAGAGCCCAAAGCACAGGGGGTGACAGAACCCCCCGATGTGCACCCTGACAGCTCACGGCTGCTCTGGCCCTGTCCCTGTCCCCTGTCCCTGTCCCCTGTCCCCCATCCCTGT